CCTTGATGCCTAAAATTGCAGGTCTCCACATGAGTGCAACTAATGGGCCGACCCATTCCACGAAGTGTTCAACGAGTGAGTCTTCTAACCCCAAAATATCACATACGTAAACATTGTATTCCAATGTAGAGGGGTTATAATCCCACAAGTACTTTGTTATATAAAAGGAGCCACTAATATCACATGTATCACTCTCTTCTTTATTGAACCATAAACCCTATCTTAAAACTCTCTGCTAGAATCAGTGAGTCTTCCAGCCCCATAATTTCCCATCCGATACCACTAGCCTATGCCCGACATAGTGTGTTTTCTACGTTGCTGGCTGGGAAGTCATTGTCTCAGAAAAAGGCTAAACTATTGAATGAAGAATGCTTCAACTTTTCTGTTTTACTTTGTCCGAGTCTTAAGGGTTAGTTAGTGTTTTGAATAAATCAGTAGCAAGTTGTTATTTCTTCCACTTTTCTAGCTTAAGTTGTTTTCATGTAAGCCTATATAAAGGCACAAATATTGATCAATTGATGTAGCAATATTAAGAGCATATTATCAGATTTTCCTTTTGCTTTCTTAATTTAATTTACTCTGTTTTAATTCCCTCTATTTTACCAACAAATTCTGGTATCAGAGCCAGACTGTTTTTCTCAACCAAGCTCCACAAAAAAAAAAAAAAAAAAAAAAAAAAAAAAAAAAATCGGCTCTAATCCCTCTCTTCTCTCACGTAACCTCACCACTCAATCAAACAAGCTTCTACTATGTCTAACAACGGCCTAAACCCTTCTGCACAACCTCTCATTCCAATCTTCAAAGGCGAAAAATATCACCTTTGGAGTATCAAAATGCAAACCATGTTCAAGTCTCAAGAATTATGGGACATTGTTGAAGGAGGTTACACCGAAGCATCAGGAGAACCTGATCAACGATTGCGTGACAATCGTAAAAAGGATGCCAAAGCCCTATTTCTTATCCAATCTGCAGTGGATGATGACATATTCCCTCGCATATCGTCTGCCAAGACAGCCAAAGAAGCGTGGGAGATCATACGGCACGAGTACTTTGGCGATAAGAAGGTAATCTCTGTTAAATTGCAAGCATTACGTTCTGAATTTGATGGTTTGCAGAAGACCAAGAAGGAGTCTATGCAACAATACCTATCGAAGGTATCAGGTATTGTTAATCAGATGAAATCATATGGTGAGCTTTTGAGCAACGAGAGAGTTGTAAGCAAAGTGTTGCGCAGCCTGGATCCTGAGTTCAATGGGGTCGTTATTGCAATTGAGGAATCGAAAGATCTCTCAACTTACACATTCGACGAATTAATGTGTTCCTTGCTAGCTCATGAATCCAGGTTCAAGAAAGACAAGGAGAAAGGTGAAGAAAAGGCTCTACAAGTGAGAGGTGAGCCTTTCGTAAAGGGAAAAGGTGAAGCATCAAATAACAGAGGAGGCAGAGGTGGTTTTCGAGGAGCCTTTCGCGGTAGAGGTCGCGGTCGAAGGCACAATGGAGGATTCAATCAACACTCCAGAAGCAATATTCAGTGCAATTACTGCAAGAAAAATGGTCACACTGAGACCAACTGTTGGAGCAAGCAACGAGGAGAATCGAAGGCAAATTTCTCCGAGGCACCACAAGAGGAAAGCAATCTGTTTTTGGCCCATTCAAAGCTTGAACCGATGGAGCATGGAATCTGGTTCGTGGACAGTGGATGCTCTAATCATATGTCAGGAGAAAGGAAATGGTTCAAGTCAATCGATAACACAAAGCAGTCAGTTGTGCGACTCGGCAATGACAAGCAAGTTAAGGTGGAAGGTAGAGGCATAGTGGCAATTCCAACTTGTAATGGCGGGACGAAACTCATCCATGATGTTCAGTATGTACCTTCTCTTACTCACAACTTATTGAGTGTTGGTCAATTAATTAAGGGTGGATATTCTGTAATTTTTGAAAATGGCCATTGTGATATTCATGACCAAAATCGCAAAATTATGAGCATTAAAATGACCCCAAACAAAATGTTTCCCTTAAATATTTCACATAGTGAAACCAGTAATGCCCTCATTGCAAAGGGAAATAGTGAATCAAGTTTGTGGCACTTGAGATACGGTCATCTGAATATTAATGGCTTACGGTTGTTAGGCAAGAAACAAATGGTTCTTGGCTTGCCTACAATCGAGCCTATTGAGTTTTGTGGAGGATGTGTGTTTGGCAAACAAAGCAGGCCAGCCTTTCCAAGTGGGGAATCATGGAGAGCCTCAACTTGTTTAGAGCTAGTTCATGCGGATTTATGTGGACCAATGTCAATTGATTCACTAGGTGGGAGTCGCTATTTCCTACTGTTTGTTGATGATTTTAGCCGCATGAATTGGGTCTATTTCCTGAAGAAAAAATCTGAAGCATTCGAGCACTTCAAGAAGTTCAAGGCATTTGTGGAGAAACAAAGTGATTGTCACATTAAAACCCTTCGCACTGATCGTGGAGGAGAGTTTGTTTCAGAAGAATTTAATCAATTTTGTGAAGAAAATGGCATTCACAGAGAGCTCACTGCCCCTTATACGCCCCAGCAAAATGGCGTTGCCGAGAGGAAGAATCGCACAATTGTTGAAATGGGAAGAAGTATGCTAAACGCAAGAAACGTTCCAAAGGAATTTTGGGCTGAAGCCGTGGCTACTGCAGTCTATATTCTCAATATTTCTCCTACCAAAGCAGTCTATGATCAAACACCATATGAGGCATGGAAAGGTCGCAAGCCCAAGGTGAGTCACTTACGCATTTTTGGTTGTATAGCTTATGCTCTAGTCAATTCTCGTTCAAAACTTGATGAGAAATCACAAAAATATATCTTTGTTGGCTATAGCACCCAATCTAAGGCATATAAGCTATATAATCCCGTAAGTGGCAAAGTAATTATAAGCAGGAATGTCAAGTTTAATGAAGAGGCTAGTTGGGAAGATGCGAAAGATAGTGCTCAATCACCTAATTCTCTCTTGACTAATGAAGAAGAAGAGACTGCACATGAAATGCCTCAACCAAATAACAATGAGGTTCACACACCTCCTATATCACCAACCAGAAGTGCGTCCTCAACACCAAGCAGTGAGAGAAGCAGCTCATCAGATCAGTCCAGCTCATCATCAGACACACCACCACGAAAAATGAAGTCTTTAAGCGAAGTATATGAATCATGTTCGTTTGCCTTGTATGTGTCTGAACCAACCTGTTATGAAGAAGCAGTGGAGAATGAGCAATGGGAGGAGGCAATGCTAGAAGAACTTACTGCAATTGAGCGCAATCACACATGGGAATTGGTTGATTCTCCTTACGGTAAAACTCCAATTGGACTCAAATGGGTTTACAAGGTGAAACATAATGCTGATGGTAGTGTTCAAAAATATAAGGCAAGGCTTGTTGCCAAAGGATATGCACAAAATCCGGGTATTGATTACGACGAAACATTCTCTCCTGTTGCACGCTTTGAAACAGTGAGAATGCTTTTGTCTTTAGCTGCCAAATTAAAACTTCCACTTTACCAGTTTGATGTCAAATCTGCGTTCTTGAATGGCAACTTGGAGGAGGAAGTTTTTGTGTCCCAACCTGAAGGTTTTGTGGTAAATGGGAAGGAGCATAAGGTGTACAAGCTGAAGAAAGCACTTTATGGCCTAAAACAAGCTCCAAGAGCTTGGTACAAGCGAATTGACTCATATTTTCTGCAAAATGGCTTTGTGCGTAGTGATAATGAACCAACCTTGTATGTGAAAGGGAGTAAGTTGTCTGATTTCCTGATTGTGTGCGTGTATGTGGATGATATAATCTATTTGGGATCATCACAAAATCTGATTGAAGAATTCAGGTCCTCAATGACAAAAGAGTTCGAGATGACGGACTTGGGGAAGCTAAAATATTTTCTTGGACTCGAGGTGAATCAAGCTGAAGATGGAGTGTTTATCTCGCAAAGGAAATATGCAAAGGACCTGCTGCATAGGTTCCATATGTACAATGCTAAGCCTGCTGCAACTCCTATGAATACGAGTGAGAAACTAAGGCATGATGATGGTACTGAAGCTGCGGATTCGAGTTATTATAGAAGCTTGGTAGGCGGACTGAATTATCTAACTCACACTCGTCCTGACATCGTGTACTCTGTAAGTGCTCTTTCTCGTTATATGCATGCTCCCACTATGCAACATCTTGGAGCTGCTAAGAGGGTGCTACGGTACATTAGAGGTACACTTGAGTATGGCATTTGGTATGCGCAAAATGCAGATTGCAAGCTGTTTGGGTTCAGTGACAGTGATTGGGCAGGCTGTGTTGATGATAGAAGAAGCACCTCAGGTCATACCTTCATCTTGGGGTCAGGAGCAATATCATGGAGCTCGAAGAAGCAGGATATAGTGGCACTCTCGTCGTCTGAAGCCGAGTATGTGGCTGTTACATCTGCAGCTTGTCAAATGGTTTGGTTGCGAAGACTGTTGAGTGAGGTTGGTTGTGAACAAAAACAAGCTACTGAGATTTTCTGTGATAACAAGGCAACAATTGCCATGACTAAGAACCCAGCGTATCATAGTCGAACCAAGCACATAGACATACGCTTTCACTACATCAGAAGTTTAGCTGCAAAGAAGGAAGTCGAGCTGAAATTTTGTGCAACAAACAATCAGACTGCAGACATACTCACGAAGGCTCTTTCTTTTGATAAGCACACTTACTTTAGGCAGAAGATGGGTGTGTGTAGCTTTGAAGCAAGGGGGTGTATTGAATGAAGAATGCTTCAACTTTTCTGTTTTACTTTGTCCGAGTCTTAAGGGTTAGTTAGTGTTTTGAATAAATCAGTAGCAAGTTGTTATTTCTTCCACTTTTCTAGCTTAAGTTGTTTTCATGTAAGCCTATATAAAGGCACAAATATTGATCAATTGATGTAGCAATATTAAGAGCATATTATCAGATTTTCCTTTTGCTTTCTTAATTTAATTTACTCTGTTTTAATTCCCTCTATTTTACCAACATAAACTCATGACAAATGTGCATGGTGTTCCGGTGGTTTTGGAAGATGCAATCATCGACCTTACTGATGTCAAAGAGCCTCCTCAAGGCGACAAAAAGGCCGGTAAATCCAAGGTGATAGATGTCCTCGGTGATGACGACATGGAAGAGGCAATAGTGGCCGGAGAAGACCAGGCCGAAACTCAGGCTCTTTACCCAAACCCTAGTTCCCTTTTCCCGAAGGTAACATTCACGGTAAGGAGCCTCACTGAAAATGATCCTGGAGTTGAGTTTAGCCTTAGGGTTAATGAAAGTTTCGAGCAGGTTTACTACAAGTATGCTGCTAGGGTGGACTGCTTGCCGGATGATATTACTATTAAGAAGGCTGGTGCTATAATTGTTGGTAGTGAGACACTGGAACGGGCTGGGATTCACACCGGAGCCAAGTTCTTTGTTGTCGGACGGGTAAAGTAGAAATATGTACAGTGAAGATCATGGTTTCATATTTGTAAGTTTAGGAGTCTTTATATAGAATATATTATTTAATATGGTTTCATATTTGTTAGTTTATGAGTTTATATAGAAATATATTATTTATGTTAACATAGTTTAATATATAAAATATATTATTTATGTTGTGATATTATCTTATGTTTTTGTGGTATATCTCTAGATTGTGTGATAATATATTAAGTTTTTGTGATATTATCTTAAGATTAATTTTTCCCAAAGTTTATTCAAGTCATGGTTTTTTAGACTAATGTATCAAAAACTTTACTTTTAGTTACTAGAATGATGAGGATAATATGGACGTTCATACAAAAGTCATCTACCTTCGAGAGGTCCGAACCCGTCCAATGTATAAGAAGGTGATAATCCGGATGGATGCGTATCTTGAGAAGCTATTTCAAATCTGGAGTGAGGAAGTCGATGTGAATCGTGACTACATAACAATGATCCATGAAAACAGGGAGGTTACTCCAATTCATACCGTTCGAGGTGCGAGTATTAGGAATGGACACGAAGTGTTTTGTTTCCCCAAAATCTGATCTGTGACCGAAAAGGGAGTAAGAGAGATTGTTTTTGTCCTTGTCAAGACAAGTGAATTGATATTGATAATGAACTTCAATTCCAAGTTGTTGTGATATAGTAGGTACTTTGGGCTTCCCATATGCTTTCGATTAGTTGATCTAGAGGATAACAATGTATTTTGTAGGACTTTAAATACCCAGTTCAAGTGGGCATGATGATCAACTTTAATGAATCTTGTAATATATTTGGTTGTTGGAATGAATGTTGTGATATATTTGGTTGTTGGGAATGAAATGTTATCTTTCATGTCTAATCATAATATTTGGTGATTGTTAAACGAAAATAATATAAATATTAAATTATTTTCTTTATATAAGTATATGATTCATAATTAAGGTATTTGTATGATAATATTATTGATAATAAAACAAATTAATGATAATACTAGGCCATATTAATCTATAGTAACAGTAACTCTTGAACACCCTTGAAATGGATAGTGCTTTAAGAAATAAAGAATATCTGTAATAAAAAAAAAAGTTGCTTAAAATAAGCTAATTTTGCAGTTGGCACTCTTGGGTGCATGTTGAAGCTGTTATTTATTTATTTATTTATTTATTTGTCATATTATTTTGGGCTCTCTTTTTTAATTTTCTTTGTACCTATTGATTGTATAAAAATGAAGTCCTCTCTATACCTTATGCATAAGCAAAGTGATTTTTTTTTTCTACAATATGAATCAGTCACACGTCTTTGTATACATCTAGGATATGTGTTGTAGGTTTTTTTAGTTTCCACGTCAATACATTTATACATTTTTCTTGCTTTTATGAGTATTTTGAAGTGTTGGTGCTATGAGACGAAGATCCTACTGACATGCCTCCAATGGTTTTTGGTTTTAGGTTTCAATTTGGACCACCAGAGGTTGAAATGTGGCCCAAAATGATGTTGAACATGGTTTAATTTACCAAGGATTTGGAGTTAGACCTGATATAGAACTTTTAAACCAATTTTAAAACAAAAATATGAATATAAATGACCCAAAACCAAATTTAAACATCAGAAGGCCCAACTATTGTGTACATTACCTTAATGTAAATGAAATAATTTCTCAATACATTTATTAAGTACTTCCAAATAAATAGGAAAATGCTCTAAATAAGACATTACTTCCGGCACTTCCGCCATTACTCATTTCTTTGACAGTCAACAGTTCGACCCCTCCTATGCCTAATCTTGAAAGTTACACTTACCCCAGCTGTTGCAATCTGTAAAATATTACACAAAAAAATATCAGAAAACAATCTGCAAAATGTTTTATTGCTGAATAAAAAAAAATGAAGAATACTTACATACACTTCATCTTGGGGGGCAACACTATCCCTTGCATCCCTCGGGTGTTGTTCCCCATAAGCTATGTCCAACACCTACGGAGATTAAGATTTTTAAATAATTTTAAACAAAAACCCATAGTAAAAATAACCAAAAATAAACAACAACCAAATGACCAATACTAAAAATAACCAAAAATAAACAACAACCAAATGACCAATAGTAAAAATAACCAAAAACAAAAACATTTCTCTTACCCCTAACCTCCCAAAGTCCCCTTTAATTGATTTGTCCATCTTCGATGCCATCCGAATCTCATGCATACTCCATACTTTCAGTATTGGGAAAATCTCCCAATCAACAGCATCCCGATTTAAACGATCCAAGTAAAATATCTAAAACAATATGGTCTCGTATGTCAGCAAGCGGTGTAAATAAATAAATAGAGAATACAAAGAGATACATAACTTGAAACGAAAACATACGGTAGCAAAAATAGCACAGCCTCCACATCCACTTGCAAACCCATTAGCATAGAATCGTCAAGCAAAACTAGAAACACTCCCTATGAATTTCGACAAGACTAAACCACACCAGTCGTACTCATTAGCCTCCATTGCACATCCAATTGCTGGTAACAAATCAGCCGCAAGACGGGCAGACTTTGTAGGACACAATACCATCTCCAAAGCAATTATTAAAAACGTCTTAAATTCCTCTTCCTCACTACCATCAAAGTGACCCTCTAAGCGGTCCATCATTTCTGAGCTCAATGGTATCCCGACCGACATGTACACCCGACCACGTTGTCCATTAGACTCCCATGCCTTCCCGTACTTCAACAAAATTCTTTGCACCTTTTCCCGATCCTCTACACTCATGGTTTTAGTGGAAGGAACACTCCTTGTACCCATTGGTATTCCTAACACCCACCGGACTTGTTTCTTGGATAACCTAAACTCCACACCATCGGGAGTTATCAACATTTTTCTTAGTGGATCTATACGAGTCATCAACCAATACGCCAACTGCCGCGGTAATTGCATATTGAATGCAAGTTGTAGTATACCTCCAAAACCCATCTCACAAACCCATCGTCTTCTCCTATCATCAAATTTTTGGCAAATACGCCCAAATGAATCAATCTGACAACTCATGTTATGAGGCTGCTAAACAATGACACCCACGTTACTAAACACACTTAGTTAGCACATATCATCAAACATAAACATACAGTAAATAGTCTTACCCTCCTTCTGCCCGTAGCAAGTTCCAACATCACCTCTCCTCTCGCTTTCACAAGTCCTCCATAAGTTAACCTATCATCCTACCACAACAACTACATTACCAACTGTTTTATTACTACTACCAAACCAAAACCGTAACCTAGCTACCTTAAAAATTCCAGAGTACAACTCTATTGTTTTCTCCCTCGGTGTGCCTACTACCTGCAATCAATTCATTCCAAAATTTCATTTCACAGATTCTTATTAGTGAGATTCATATTAGTGTAGCAAAACAGGACATATTATATGGTTATAACCTTATTACTCAACACAAATCCATCCTCTTCTTCACCAACCTACATTGCTCATGTATTAATTCACATTACTACCAGCAATTAATTCACCAGCAATTAACATCTACATAACAAACTCAGTATTAAGCAAATTGTAAAGTACATACCACATTCTCTAGTACATCACAAAATGTACGCTTACGATTTCCTTTAGACATTTAAACAATCCTGTAAATTGCACATGTATTAATTCATCTATTCATGCTCACATCAGTCCGATGTAAATTTCTCATCTATCAACACACACCTCTACCAGAAAGAATTCAACCAATTTCAATTACGGAAATTAAAACACGGAAATTAAACCAGTTCACACTTTCGTAATTCAGTAGTTCACTTCATTATTTGCAAATTATCTGACATTTCTGCAAATTAAACCATGTTCGAACAGACAAATCACCTAAACCCTAGTCAGATCTACAACACTTCAAACCCAAATCAAATTTAAAGTTACCTTTTTTCGATTAACAGTAGATATGAGTTGCCGAAATTCCTCCGCTTTACGATCTCCGATCTCCAACCTGCAAAATGTTCGAGTCCTCTCTATCTCTTCGATTTCGTTTTTCTGCAAACTTCAAATTTCGTTTTTTTTTTTCGATTTTCTGTAATTTTAATGCTGTAATCTTGCCGAAATTCCTCCGCTTTACGATCTCCAATCTCCAACCTGCAAAATGTTCGAGTCCTCTCTGATTAGGGGATTTTGCTCCCACCAATCGAAATGCGCCACGTGGGCCAATCAGGTCCTGCCAAGTGTCCCCCAGTTGGAACTGTCAGGGCTTGCCACGTGGCACACGCTTATTCGTCCACCTTGGACCTATTATGTCATGACACGTGGCATACTCCATGCCTAATGGGGAAACCGGCCACCCAGGCCCAACTTCCGAGGGAAGCCCAATCAGCCCTAGGTTAACCTAAACCTAGGATTAGCACGTTTCCCAAGGTTATAAATACTTCCCTTAATCCTCATTAAGGGAGAGGACATTAATTACAGAGATAACAGGCTGATCACGCTAACAAAGCAGATTACCTACATTAAACACTCTCACCTAGAGAGACCCAATCACTTTAATTTCCGCATTAATTACTCCTTAATCAAGTACTAACTTAACCGTTGGAGGCGGAGCTCCCACCACCAGGAGTCTCCGTTGTTTTGCCGGTACAAGCGTCCGGTTCCAGTCTCGGAATTGTAACTCTCCCGCAGGACATCAGAAAACCCCGAAACATTTGGCGCCGTCTGTGGGGAGAGTACTTCTGAGATGGCATCCAAGTCTGTACCGACTCCTGAAGAGAGGCGTCCCCTAGACGACCCTCAAGTTCAGTCGGACCACGATACTGAGAGTGAATTTGAAGTTGAAGCTCACACAGCTTCAGACGGGACCCTAAGGGCCCGACGTACCCGTCATACCGAAAGGAGGGAACGGGAACATCTTCAAACTGGAAGTGAGCCAGCAGGCGCACCGCTTGTTCGGCAGCAGCCGACTGATGGATCTGCTCCCATTACAAGGAACGAACTCATGACCTTCATGAGGGACTTCAAGGGAGAAATTCAACAGTTGATCAAACAGAAGCCGCCTGCTCTGGACAAGGAGCAGTCGGCTAAGAAACCCTCCACTTCACTAAAGAGGAAGCCAGTTCAAGGGCGAGAGGCGACTCCTCATCCTAAATCTAGGAAGCGGGAGCCGACTGCCCTTGATTTCACAAAATACCATTTTCCTACTCCAGGAAATAGGAAACCTGTTCGTCATATTCAGGCGGACGGGTCGAGGAAATCATACACAGACGCTCGGCTACTGCTAGAGCAGAAGAAGAGTGACCGATTGTCAGAGTCGGCCTCTACTTCAAACTTTCAAGACAGTCTGAGAAATACCTCAATGAGGCATACTCAGTCGTATCATGAGAGTCAGTCAGGCGGCACCTCCCGTCAGTCCGGCTTTCATAGCGACCAGGCGGTACCAAACTTACCGTTTGTACCGCAACAACAGTATTTTTTACAGCCACCTCCGTTTGGTGGACCTGCAGCAAAAAATGTCCAACCTATGGACTGGCAGCTACGGTTGCTTAGACTTGGTGAACAGCCGTCGGCTTTCTCCAAGGAAATTACTGAAGCCGCTCAGCCGGCCAAAGTGAAAAATGTATTAGTAGGCGCCTATGACGGCACTACTAACCCAGAAGACCATCTTATGGCCTTCACCAACCTGATGTACCTTCAAGGGTTGGATGATCCCACTTGGAGCAAGTGTTTCCCAGCGACTCTCAAAGGAATCGCACAACAATGGTTCGGCAACCTGCCGACTGGTTGTGTAAATATCTTCAGGACGCTTGCTTACTTATTCACCTCCAACTTCGCCATGAACATCCCTGCAAAGAAGACGACCCTTGATTTAGGAACAATTCAGCAGGGCGAGAAGGAGGGGCTTCGTTCTTACATCAGGCGTTTTAACCTGATGAGAATACAGATTCAAGGGTTACCGGATGAAGTAGCCTATACTGAATTTTTCAGAGGTCTCAAGGACGGGTCGACCTTCAAATTTGATTTGGTCCGAAAGAGGGTGGCGACTCTTCAAGAGGCCTTGATTGAAGCGGAAGCCTATATACAGGCGACTGATCTTTGTACGGTAAAACAGTCGGACGGGAAAAGGTCCGACAAAAGAGAAGGACGACAGAAACAGTCGTCAAACAAAGATGAGAAGAGAAAAGAGGTCTGGGCGGCTGATTCCTCTAAACAGCCGGCCTAGAAAAAGAAAAAAGAATTCAAACCATATTCCCCAAAGTATGCCTTTAACAAGGATAACCAGTTTATCCTAAAAGAAATCAAGGGACAGATCTCAATTGAGAAGCCGGTCCCCATGAAGGGTTCTGCAAACAACCGGAACCAGGAAAAATTCGGTGCTTATCATGAAGATGTTGGTCATCACACCAATGACTGCATCAGTCTCATGCGGTATCTGGACCGCCTGGCTGAGCAAGGTGATCTTGGCACTTATGTCAAGAAATCTACGGGGAACACTTCCTCAAAAAAGCAGTCGGCCAAAAAGAATCAACAGGCCGACAACTCCGATACAGATGATGCAGTCGTCTACACCATTGCAGGCGGCTTCTCAGGAGGCGGCCCCACTATTAGGGGCAACAAAGACAATATCAGACGGTTAGATGTAAATTCCGTTCACCAAGAACGGCCGTCCAAATATTCATTTCCTGAGATTGTCATCACTGAAGAAGATCTAGGAGGGGTAAGAGGGCCGCATGACGACCCTATCGTTATTGAATGTAAAGTGGCCAACCAGAGAGTTGGCCGAATCCTCATAGATACCGGAAGCTCCTCAGATCTCATCAGTAGCAAATGTCTGTCGAAACTAAAATATCAGACTGATTGCATACATCCGGCCTCCCACCCTTTAGTAGGGTTTGGAGGAGGAGTCGTCCACCCAGTGGGACGAGTGGATTTACCCATCCGTCTGGGCGAAAAAGGGGAAGGACGACACATGGTAGTCCGGTTCCTGGTAGTAAAAGAACTCTCGGCCTACAACATGATTCTGGGACGACCAACCCTGAATAATTCCAAGGCTGTTATAATCCCATCTCTTATGTTGCTCAAGTTTGAGAGGGATAATGGAACAGTCGGGTCCCTAAGGGGAGATCAGAGGATGGTCCGAGAGTGCTATCTCTCGGATGTCAAGCCCAATGTTATGGCCACTGGGTCAAGTGGTGGAAACACAGACCTTGACAATGTCAAGGAGAGTGCGCCTGTTCAAGAAGCAGGCGGCAAGAAGAGAAATGCATCCCAGACAGGGACCTCATGAAAGGACAGAAAATAGCAATCATTGGCAGAGGAGCGGTCGGATGAATTCCGCCCTCAGTCTGCTGGTGAGCATACGGATCTGATCCTAGACGACTCGTGTCCTGACCGAACAGTCAAAGTTGGGACGACTGCTCTGAGAGTCCTAGGTGACGACTTTCACAAACTATTGAAAGAATACAAGGACATCTTTGCATTCGAAGTCCATGAAATGCCAGGCATTAGTCCTGATCTGGCGGTACATAAACTGGCCGTGGATCCGAAACAGAAGCCGGTACGGCAGAAGAAGCGGAACCATGGCGAAGAAAGAAGTCAGGCGGCAGCCGCCGAAGTTAAAAAATTACTTGATGCAGGGTTCATTCGGCAATGTTACTTCCCAGACTGGGTTGCAAATGTGGTGCTTGTTAAAAAGCCGAATGGCACCTGGCGAATGTGTGTAGACTACACAGACTTAAACAAGGCGTGCCCCAAAGACAGTTACCCTCTACCTAAAATTGATAACCTGGTCGACTCAACAGCCGGCCATGCTTTGATGAGCTTTATGGACGCCTACTCTGGTTTCCATCAAATTCCTTTATGGAAGAAAGATCAGGAGAAGACGACCTTCGTCACTGATCAGGGATTATACTGTTACACGGTCATGCCGTTTGGTCTTAAGAATGCCCCGGCTACCTTCTAGCGAATGATAAACACTGTGTTCTTTGATCAGATTGGGAGAAACGTCGAGGCTTACATTGATGATATGATTGTCAAGACTAAACTTCAGAAAGATCATCTGTCGGACCTCCGAGAAACTTTCGCCACACTCAGGCGGCACCATGTCATGCTCAATCCCAAGAAATGTGTCTTTGGAGTTGAGTCTGGGAAATTTCTCGGATTCCTTATCAATCAGAGAGGAATAGAGGCGAACCCTGAGAAGGTGCAGGCGGTCATTGACATGCAGCCGCCTCGTACCAACCGAGAGGTTCAGAAGTTAACAGGTTGTCTGGCGGCCTTGGGAAGATTTCTAAGCCGATCAGGCGACAAATGCTTATACTTTTTCCAGGCAATTAAGAAAAAGGCAAGGTTTGAATGGGGGCCGGATGCTGAGGCCGCCTTCCAGAAATTGAAAGTTCACCTGCATTCCTTGCCGAGGCTGGTCAGCCCTTTGCCCAAAGAAGTACTCTACATGTACCTGGCCGTCTCTGATCATGCGTTAAGCGCTGTTCTCCTTGCTGAAAGAGACGGCTGTCAGCTCCCGGTCTACTTTGTCAGTCACGTACTGAAAAATGCCGAGTTGAGGTATCCCTTAGTGGAGAAATTTGGTCTTGCACTCTTCATGGCTGTTAAAAAATTGAAGCCCTACTTTTTGGCACATGCAGTCGTCGTGTATACAGACCAACCTATCAAGCGGCCACTGACCATCATGGAGTCGTCGGGCCGAATGATCAAATGGGCCATAGAAATTCAGAGCCTCGAAGTTACTTTCGAGCCTAGAAAAGCAGTGAAGGGGCAAGCCTTTGCTGACTTTATTGTTGAGATGACTCCTCCTCCTGACTCTCAAGTTCCAGACCAAGTCTGGAAGGTATATGTGGACGGAAGCTCTACTTCAAATGGTTGTGGAGCAGGAGTCATATGTCAGTCGCCAGAGGGCGACAGGTACGAGTATGCTTTACGCTTCAGTTTTCAGGCCTCAAACAATGAAGCAGAATATGAAGCTTTACTAGCCGGAATCCGCATGTGTAAGGCGGCAGGGGCAAGAAAAATAGACGCCTGTTCCGATTCACAATTGATAGTGAGTTAGTACAATGGCGAATACAAAGCAACCCATCCGGCCATGATCAAGTATTTACAGGCGGTCCGACAAGTAGTCGGCTCTCTTGAGGCTTTCCATCTGATCCAAGTGCCGAGATCAGAA